AATATTTCTTAAATCTAACGCACAGCGGCCATATAAAAATGATTTATTTCTTCATGAATTCTTTCAAGATATGATCGATATGCATCACAGGAAGGGGTGGCAACGTTCCAGAATGAATCTTTCTGTGACATATGAGGCCGGCCTTTTGGGCGAACGACTTGCCGCACACGTCGCAAACGTAAATCCTTTCTCCTGTGTGCAGCAGCAAATGTTGGCTCAAACTACTGTGCGTGGTGAACGCTCTAGCGCACACCGAACAGCTATAAGGTTTGTCCCCGGTGTGTATCCTCATGTGTTTCCTGAAATCATGATTCTCGAAGAACGTTTTCCCACACTCCTCGCAAACGGACTTCTCTTTCTTCTCATGCTGGGTCAACACGTGTTGGTCAAGGTTCTCTTTGGTCACCAATCTTCTATGGCACACGGGGCATTCGTATTTCGCTTTGTAGTGGGCGTGTTTCTGATGCGTGTACAAACTGTGGCTGTTGCGGCACGTTTTCCCGCAAACGTCGCACATAACAGGCGGTTCCCGATGATTCAATCTCATGTGGGTGGTTAGATCACCCTTGATCTTGAACTCTTTGCCGCATTGCTCGCACGAGAACTCGTAATGTTGGGTGTGCTTCCGCACGAAATGAGACCTTAAAGTCTCCTTTCGAGAACAGATAAGGCCGCATATGATGCAGGTGAATTTTCTTTTACAGGTGAATTTACTTTTACCGGAACCCTCGTGGTTTTGCGCCAGATGGGCTATCATCGTTGATCTTTTGTTGCAACGAAACTCACAAATGGTGCAGGACAAAGCTTCCTGTTTCTGGGACCCTAGTTCCACGAGGGTGTTCCCTTTCGAGGACACGTCTCTCTTATCCTCATTTTCACAATGAGCAAGCTTCTTGTGTCTTCTTAACAGATATTTTTTCTTAAATTGTTTTTGACAGATGTCACAGGTCGGTAAAATTTTGCACTCGGGCGATCTCGTTTCTCTTTTCATTTCTTCAGTGTTGTCGGTTGTGTCCCGTCTCGAGATGGGGTTGAAGCGTGACCGGATCTGTCCATTCCTAAAACAGGAAAATGGTTAAAGTTTATTAGGGTTCTAAAAGGATTGTACTTATTTATATTGATTACTTACAGTCAAAGTTAATAGTCATGACGAGTTTGACGTGAAAAGAGTAAAATTACTACTACCAATAGATTGAGTAATTAATAATTTTATTCTTCGAGAGTTTAAAGAAGAAGAAAAATTCAAGTTTTTATTCGGTGCAAATAGAAAACGATACAAACAGTATGTTTTATGGATGACAATATTTGTGAAGTGTAATCGATTAAAAAATATTTCTTTAATTTTTCTTACGAATCATTCGTCATTTCTTTTATCGATAAAATAAATAAATATATTTATATTATCTTATTAACTTTCAAGAAATTTTTAATACTTGTTCGAAAGATGAATCGGAAGATATGCAATTTATTTTTAACCATATCGTCGATGGTGTAATCAAGTGGTAAAAATCCATAATAAAGGTAAAATCGTTTCTCTTTATGGCACTTCAAGGATGCACAATTATTGATTAATCGTTAAAGATGAACTTGTCGCATCCCGAAATAGTCGTGAACTGAATTCCCTGAAACACAAAGTACGATTAAACTTAAAATTACATTATTATTCAAAGTAATGCATATCTAGAGATTTTTTTATTGCCTACAAATATTTATAAATGTTTATTGATATTATCGTCAAATAAATCATAATACTTACCTGCATAATTTTATTCATTCATTTCACAATAGAAAAGTATACAAGTTTTTCATACTTTTTCAATTTACACTTAATCACAATTTAATCTTCGTTACTCACAATTCGTTTCTATATAACCGTCACTATAATAATAAAAAAATTTCATTTAAAGGGATGGAAAAAGATATAAAAGATTATTCTCAATTTAAATTAATATAATAAAGTAGAAATATTATACAATATCTACTATATTAATTAATTATATTAGACAAATAACGATATATCTTCAATCGCATTGAAAATCATTTTGTTTTATTTCAAATGATCATAGACAATTATATTTAAGAATTTTGGACAATAGTCAAGAAAAATATATGTATATCTGTCACGAGATTACGCCTAAAATAAATTTACAATTTCATCTTGTGTACAATATATTTCACGATAGATTTCAAATTCTTGCTATCCTAAATAATTGGTTTCCACAAAAAAAAAAAAAAAAAAAAAAAAAAAAAAAAAAAAAAAAAAAAAAAAAAAAAAAA